GTTTGGGAACAGCAGGTGCTCAGGTAGCGGGGTGCTCAGGCGGGGTGTGGCTTTGCACAGGTGGGACCCTTCCCCTGCCTCTCCCCCCTGTGCCACCCGCCGTTCCAGGGTCTGGCCACAGCCCCGAGCGCGTGTACGACCTGCCCCCAGTAGGGCATCTGGGACGAAAGGGCCCGGGACCGCAGTCAGGCCGCACCTGAAGGAGACGAGGCCGGTGGCGAGCAGCGGGAAGGCCAGCATGCACAGGATCACCCGCCAGAGCCCGGTGTCCACGCAGAGCTGGCCCCACCACACCTTAGTCAGGAAGGCCTGTGGACGGAGGACCAGCCTCAGGGTGGTGGGCAGTCCTCCCTGCCCACGCCTGAGGGAGGGCGATGGCACACGCTCGAGCACGGTGCTCTCTGCGGCGGGTGGCACGGGACGGTCCCGCCATCTGCCAGGCGAGCAGAGGCTCCAAGGGCCGGGAGCTTGTGGAGGGACGAGAGGCGGGACCCACAGCGGGACACCTGCCCCCTGAGCTCGGGGTGTGTGTGTGTGCGTGTGTGTGCGTGTGCACATGTGTGAGTGTGCACGCGTGTGCTGGGGAGAGGTGTGACAGGACTTCTCCCCACAGCGTCCCCAGGCCCCGGCACAGCACGGCATGCGCCAGTGCCCCGTAGACTTGGGGACAGCACGCAACCGCGCTCGAGGAAGCACCAGGTGCGGGGCCACCGGACTCCTGCCGCCCCGCTGGGTGTGGAGGAGCTTCCCACGTGCCACACTCGGGAGGGTGCTCTGCCCTCCACGTGTCCTTCTGAGGACCCAGCTAGGGGATGATCGCCCGGCCCGCAGGTCTGCAGCTCATGGCTGATGGGCCAGGCACCGTCCCTGGGCCCCGAGGGACCCGAGAAGCATGAACGAGCGTGCCATCTGCGTCAGCAGAGGCTCCGCCCCCTCAGCACCACAGGCATCCATGTCTGGAAGCAGGCCTTCAGAAGTCACCTGGATGCCCCCGTGAGACACGAACTTCATGTCCTTGGCCTCCAGGGCCAGCTGCAGGCAGGTGGTCTTCCCCCAGGCCTCCGACACGCGCACGAGCAGCTTCTGTGCCCTCTCCTCGTCCTTCCGGTAGCACTCGGTGAAGACCCCTGGCAGAGCAAGGCCATGTCACAGCCGCAGGGTCCCTGTCCCTGACGCCTGGGACAGTGTCAGAGGGCTCCCCTCCCGTGGCCCAGCCGGGACAGGAGTAGGGCTGAGATGGGGACGAGGACCCCAGTGACACATGGGGCGTCTGAGACACAGGTGACACACGGAGCGTCTGAGACGCAGGACGAGGACCCGGGTGCCGCGCGGAGCTGAGCGTGTGCGAGGTGGCAGCCCCACGGGGCTCACCGATGGCTCTGAGCTCGTACTCGTCGGCGAGCGCCAGCATCTCCTCGGAGCTGTCTGTGTCCTCCTCCTCCTTGGAGAGCTCCTTGAGGATCTTGCTGCAGGCCAAGGCCGCGGCCGTGCAGTCCTGGGCCTGGGCCAGGAGTCACAGTGAGGGCCCGCGTGGTCCAGTGCGAGGAAGCCCGGACACACTGCCCAGGGTGACGACGGCAGGGCCCCCCTCTGTACGGGCCACTGGAGTCTCCCCCAGTCGACCCGTAAGCCCTCACCGGGGCCCGGGCCCCTGCACTGGCTGGTGGCGCTGGTCAGCTCGCCTGCCCAGAACAGGGACTGGACGCAGGGCTAGTGCAGACAGCACGGGGCCCAGCGCTCTCGGGGCGGCTGGTCAACCCCAGGTAGTGGGGCGTGGAGGGGGAGGCTGAGGCCTGAGAGTGCACCCCTCGGAGAAGCAGGGCCAGGCCCACGCAAGTCTCCGTCCAGGCTCAGGGCTCTGCCTCGGCGGCACTGTCCAGCCCCGGCTCCGGAGGAGGCAAAGCCGAGCTTGAGGACGGGCCCAGAGCTCAGCCCGGAGGTGCCGGGTCCAAGGTCAGTGCCGGCCCAGCACGAGGGCCGCGGGCAGGGCCTGGAAGCCTGCGTCTGGCCTTGCCACCCCCGAGCCCTGCGGAGCTCGCCTAAGGCCGGTCAGGCCCCGCCGGATGCTGACCGCCAGGCCCCTGGGAGAGGGGCCTCCTGGAGCGGCCGGCAGTGGCACTCTGCTGGTGACACTGAGGAAGGAGTGGCCCGCGGAGCACTCTGGAAAGGTCGGCGCTGGACAGCAGGGCCCCTCTGAGGACGAGCTCCGATGGGCCACTGTTGCTTTAACTGGGGACTCACTCGGCCCAGCTCAGAGGCCGCTCCCAGACGAGTAATGGGTGGTCTCCATCGGACCCCCACTGGCCAATGCGAGGGACGCGGCCCCCCGGTCATGGAGCCCGCCCTGCAGCCTCTATGGAGCAGGATGCCACAGCCCACATATTGACGCCTCTGCCCGTGAGTGCGACAGGGGACGCCTCTGCTCGGCCCGCCCTGCCCTGCGTGGGGCTGGGGGCTGCATGCGGCTCACCTCCTCATGAGTTCTTTTCTTGCCCAGAGCCAAGCCCTCCAGTGCCGACACTGAGCACCCCGAGTCCTTTGCGCTGCTGCCACCCCCCACCCTCCACAGCTCTGCCACCCTGCTGCTCTGCTCAGGCTCCCGGCCTCAGCCCTGCCCCTGGTCCCCCTCAGCCGTGTGTCCGGTTACCTGAGCCCAGATGATTTCTGCCAGCTCCCGGCGGTTCTGGACGATGGCCCAGATGAGCAGATCGCGGATCGGGTCCATGGTGAAGGTGACATGGCCCGAGGAACGCTTGTAGAGGGACCGGAGACTCACTCCCTGCACCTGTGAGCAGTGAACGGTCAGAGCGCCCCCACTGGCACCAGAGGTCCCGGGTGCCGGTGGGGATGCTGCTCCTGAGCCTCCCCACACCACGGAGCCCGTGTCCCCGGAAGGCAGGCCCTGTGACCTGCATGTGAACAGTGCCCTAAAAGGTTCTCATGCACCCCGAAGTCCCGAGCCCGCCACTGCAGACACCAGACTCGCCCAGAGCGGGGGGCCCGCTCGCTCCTGCCGTCCACCCGGCAGCTTGAGGCTCCTCATCTCAGCTGATGGTTCCCTACAGGAAAAACTCTAACCTCCTGTCAACGGATTCGTGGCCGTGAGTCCCTCAGCCGACCTACACGGCGCCGAGTGGACACGGCGAGGTGACACGTGAGCAGGGGACACGACCTGCTTTGGGACACAAGAACCCAGGCTCCCTCGGACAGTCCCGAGACGATCCCCAGGGGCAGAGAACAGAGCTGCCATGTCACGCACAAAGCCGCACTTTCTCTAAGGGGTTCTGGGCATTTCCTGAAGGCTCTTCTTTATAGATTAAAAAAAAAAAAGTTTACCAAATTACAGACGTAATTAAGCGTGAGCCTCCATTGGCCCTCCGGAAGCACACCCGCCGGGCGTGTTACACACTCGGGAGTCAGGAGGGCAGAGCTGTGACTTCGTAAACCTGAGCCGCAGCCACGTCTCTCAGGGGTCAGGAAGAGCTCGTCTGGGACAAGGGGCAGACTGGAGACTAAAGGGGTGAGTCATTTTCTAGCAGGAAAAACATAAAACCCCATCTAATCTTAGACTCGTCGGGAAAGGAGCTGAGGGACCCATCGGAGCCGCTGCCAGGCCCCAGGCCCCAGGCCCCGGGTGTGTGCGGCCACACAGGCAATCTGGAGCGCAGGAGGGTGGACGGCTCCCCAGCCGGGCTAGCGCAACCTGACAGAGACAGCCCCCAAACGAAACTGAGCCACGAAGCCGCGACAATACTGGCCCGAGAACCCGGCGTCAAACAAAGCACACGTCACGCGGCGCTCAAAGCAAGAGTCACAACGCGGATGAAAACGTTTCACCATCAGACTCCTCAGGACGGAGAGGAGCCGCTCTGCCCCTCGCAGGCGCCTGAGGCGTCGCTCGTGAAACCTGGGTGACCCGGGAGACGGGCACACCCGGACCCAGGCGAACGCCGGCCTTGCACTTGGCCCTGAGACAGGACCCCCAGCGAAGCAAGACGTAGACGAGCAACTGCCCCTCCACCTACAGCGCGTGCCGGCCTCACGCAGGTGTGGTGGGACCCTCCCTGCCTGCGTGGAGACGCGGTCCGCCCCGGCGAGCAGGCCGAGGGAGCAGGGCACCCCGCACGAGCTCCGCGCCACTGGGGATGTGTAGAAAGAAGGAGCTGGGAACCGACTATGCCCCCCAAATTCCTACATCGAAGCCCCGCCCCCGAGCGTGACTGCACTTGGAGGCGGGGCCTCGAAGGAGGTGGTGAAGGTGTCCTTATGAGAGGAGGAGACACGCCGAAGGCCACCCGCCCACCAGGAAGAGGCTGCCGCCCAGCCCTGCGGGCACGCGGTCCCGCGTCCAGCACCGCGAGGAAGCCAGCGCTCTTGGCCAAGCGGCCAGTCTGGGATTCGTTAGCAGACCAAGATTCCCACGCGAGCACTGGGGCGCTGTAACAAGGGCCACGCCTGGGAAGCTGGGGGTGGGGCAACCCGTTCCCGGGGGGCGGAGCCTGCCCGGGGTGGGGCCTGCCCGGGGGCGGAGCCTGCCCAGGGGCGGAGCCTGCCCAGGGGCGGAGCCAGCCCGGGGGCGGAGCCTGGCCGGACCCTTCGCCTCCGAGCTGCTGTGTTGAGTGGTGTCGTGGAGCTTGTGAGAGATGCAGCTGGGGATCTAGCTGTGGGGGGGTTCTGAGCCAGGTGCTGAAGGCGCAGCCCGCTTCTCCTCGCTGCTTATGGGAAATGCGACAGGAGACAGGTTAAGAGGGCCGTCGAGCACACAGGAGCCGGAACTTAAAGGTCTGGGAAGTTCTCGGCCTCTCCGTAAGGCGGAGGTGAGCAAGCACGTGCGGGGAGAACAGCGGGCGATTGCTGGGACCCTTAGACGAGGAGACTGTGGGTGGGACCCCTGCAGCCGAGGAAGCAGCTCAGCAGAAGCCAGGAACGGGGCCCGGCTCTGGGACTAGAGGGGGCAGAACAGATGGGCCCGGAGGAGGGCCGGCTGTCGCGCTCTGCGATTCTACCCAATGGGATTGGAGAGTTTGTCCCGCACATGAACCCCCTTATCTTTTGATTCAAGTGTGCCACCCCCGCCACATGCCCGCCGGGCCAGGACAATGCTTCTCAGCTTCTGAGCACAGCCATCTCCTTGGGCCAGGAGGCCACCACCCGGCGTCTATGGGGCCCAGTGCTGCAGAGGCCGCAGGGCTGACAGTGAGCCCCCAAGGGCCCCAAAGGCAGGTCGGGCCAGAGAGATTTATCTTGAGCCTCAGGACCCCGAGGGTGTCTGTCCTATGCCTGTCCCTACCACTGGAAGCACGTGACCTGTCTGGTGTCACATGTTCCCAGATGGACGGGATCTGCCTCGGGAGCAACGCGCTTCTGACTCTGGTGAGATTTCGATGAGACCTCAGACTTTAGATGGGTCAAGGCCTTTTGGGGATCTTGGGAACGGAGTAAACGTATTTCGCATTTGATAAGGACCTGTGTTTTGGGGGGCCATCCGCTGAAGCGTTATGGGCTGAATGTTATGGGTCCACCAAAGTTCATCCGCTGAAGGCTTAACCCCCGTGGCAGCTGTGCGCGGAGACAGGGCCTGTAAGGACGTAGCTGAGGTTACAGGAGGGCATAGTGGGAGACCCTGATCCAGTAGGACCGGTGTCCTTAGTGAAGTGACACCAGCGCCATCTCTGACTCCGAGCACGTGCACACAGACAAAAGGCCACGTGAGGACGCGGCAAGCAGTCGGCACCCACACGCCAGGAGGAGGGCCCTGGCCAGAAGCCAGCCCTGCGGCCCCTGACCTTGGGGTTCCAGCCTCCAGGGCCCAGAGAACACAAACTTGTCGTATGACCCCCCAGGCCACGGTGTCTCCTTACGGCAGCTGAGCCAACTAAGACCGCAGTGTGCTTCTTTTCCCATAAATATGTAAGCTACGTTTTCTAGAAAGCTCTGAGGACAGCAGGGGCCCCGGGCGCGGTTGGGGGGAGGGGGGACGTCACCCGCACGCACGTTGAGCTTGATGTGCGGCACGGGCAGCAGCAGGCGCGGCCGCTCGCCGGAGCGGGGCCGGGGGTACAGCGGCTGCGTCGAGTCCCCCAGCAGCTCCCGCAGCACCTGGGCCACGTGGTGCATCTGCAGCGGCGGCAGGGCCGGCTCCTCCGCCAGCACCTTCTGCAGCTTGCAGTAGAACAGGCAGGAGGGGTCCAGGTTCTCGTACAGGTAGAGCAGGGTGTCCCAGGTGCCAAAGTCCTTCAGCCGCAGCCCGTTCTCCAGGAAGAGCTTCACGAACTCGGGCTTGTTGGAGATGAGGGCGGCCGCCATCATGGGGTGCAGCTCTGAAGGCTGGGAGAGGGGGGCGGGGGCCGCGTCTGGTCACCGCCTCCTGTGCTCCCGGGGACGGGGACGGGACAGCTGTGTCTCCAACTGAAGGAGGAGGACACATGCCCGGGCCTCCCGCCTCCACCGAGGGGAGGGCTGGGTCCCCGCAGAGGCCCGTCCTGCGTCCGTGGCACCACGCGGGGCGGACCCCGCCAAGCCCCGCCGCCCGGCACAGCCCCGAGAAGCCTTACCTTCCACTGACGCTCGTCCGTGAAGAGCTCACTCCGGGCGATGTCCACGCGGTTCCACGCCACTGCCAGCTTTAGCTGGTGGTCCCAGTTCTCGTGGCCGAAGTGGTCGTGACTCCGCGAGGCTGCAGGGACGAGCAGAGTGTCCAGGGCTTTGACCTGCCTCTCAAAGCCACCTCCCGGCAGCACCCTGCTGTCCCATAGAGCCGCAGAGGCAGGGCTGTCACCAGCCACGGCCCCTCCGTCACCATGGTTGAGGACGTGCCGAGCTCAGTGCACCCCCCGTGCACTCGGTGTCATCGGAATCTGGGGCTCTCGCGGTCACCGCGCTGGCTCCCCGCAGCTTCCTGCCCCGCCCCCACCTCCTGGTCAAGGCCCTGGCCCCTAACTTAGAACCCCTTGTGTCACTCTGATTGCAAAACCACCGCCTCACCCCGGTTCTCAGGATGAACATTACTTCACGCTCATTTCTGCACATGCTCGCTCTCTCTCTCTCTCTCTCTCTCTCTCTCTCTCTCTCTCGCAGGTTTAACATTTAAAACATGGGTTGTTATTTATTTGGGGAAGAAAAACGAAGAACTTGGACTTTCACCCTACAACACCGAGGTGGGTCACAGACCTAAGCTGAGCCCGTAGAGCCCCCACAATGAGCACAGGGGAACATCTGCGACCGTGGGCGGCAAAGACTTCTCGAGGTGCAGGGAACATGCCCCACAAAGGAGCAAACTGCTAAATTAACGGCATTAAAATGTCAGCCTTCTGCTCTTCAAAGACACCTTGAGGGAAATCTAACAGCAGGCCACAGACCAAGAGAAAATGTCCCCGACACGTGTATCCGGGAAAGAATTTGTACTGAAAGGTATCAAAACTCTTGCAATGCAAAAACGAGAAGACAAATCACCACGGAACACGGACAGGCCATCCGAAAGACACTCCCCCAAGATGACAGGCAAGTGGCCGGCGAGCCCAGGAAATGACGCCCCACCTTCCTCACTGGGGAGACCACACCGAGACGTCACCTCGCAGCCACTAGGACGGCTGCCGTCTAAAGGGCCGGGGACGGCACTCGTCGGGAGAAGCGAAACACTACGATCTTTCTGGAAAACGGTTTGGCAGTTTCTCACAATGTTAAACATACGCTCACCCCAAAGAACCAGCCATTCCGTTCCCACAGGGGGACCCCGAGGAATAAACACAAATACGTGTATTCGTAATAGCCGCGAACTGGGGGCAACCTAAATGTCCATCCGCAGATGAACGGAAAGCGACACAGGCTCAGACAGAAGACCGCGGCCCACAGAGGACCCAGGACAGGGGACCCACGACGGAGGACGGCTCAGCAGCCAGAGGGAGCCGAGCTCTGACGCGGAATTCAACGTGCGGAATCCCGAAAGCACAGCGCGGAGCAGACGCGAGACGCCGGCCAACAGGTGAGTCTGGCTCCGCGGACGGGAACGCGGAGATGCCGTCGCCGGCGCGCACAGGAGAGACATTGGCCGACGGGAGACACGAGGGAGCTTTCTGGGGTGAGGAAACGGGCCCCGTATCACTGTGGGTACGTGGGGAACACACACCTGTTAAAACGCGCCCCGCAGTGAGCTCGGGGGGTCCCTATAAATAAACCGTACCTCGATGCAGTTGATTTTTCAAAGGGCTGCCACTGGAAAACCCTGCATCTCTCTCCATAACCACGTGCACTTCACGCGTGCCCCATAATTAGGGTGTCCCTGTCCCATACGCTCCCCCAAGCACCCACTCGCGACCAATTACACCGTGCTTGCTTCCAGAAACACGTACGCTCCCTTCCCGCCGCGCGCCCGCCTGCCCGCCCTGCGTCCGTGGCCCTGCCCCCCGCACCGTCCTGCACAGCCCAGCTGTGCCCGAGTCACCTCCCGACACTTCTCACCGCGACGACAGACCTCGACCGTGCACAAGTCTCACCTGTACAGCTCGACGGCTTTTCCCTGCCATCTACACAGGCATAGCCACGACCAAGGTCCAGACACGGATCCTTCCGACACCCGAGGCCCGCCTGCCCCCTCCCCCCTCAGCACCCACCCAGAAGTGGCCACGACGGCCCGACCTCTGCTCTGAGCAGCCCCACAGCCGGCGAGAGCAGAGGCCGTGGGACTTGGGGCTCCACATCTGTGGGGTCCACCCTGGGCCATGAGGAGGGGCATCCCCTCTCCCAGTGCTGTGCGCTGCTGGTCAGACTCAGCGTCCCTTGTCACTGCCTTCAAGGGCCACAGCAGCCTCGGGTTCTTGGGCCACCTCAGAGAAGTGACAGACGCTTCCACTGTCCTCTGCGATGGGAATGCTCGCAGACCTGGGTATTCACTCCTGCCTGCGGGCCGCCGGCCACGGGCCACATGGCGAGTCCGTGGGTCAGGCTCCTGACCTCGCCCGCACAGTCGCCGCTGTCAGGGGGATGAAGCGGCTCTGATTCTGTTGAGTCAGCTCTGCCTGGTTCTTCTCTGTTCCAGCGAGAACCTCCCAGCCCGGGCCTTGAAAGGCAGGTCCCAAGTCTCGCTTTTAACTGTTTCATCCGTCAGGCGAGGTTCATGGAAAATATCCGAGCCCTTTGTCAGTGAGAGGGGCACGGAGTGCACACCCAGGAATCAAAGTGACGTCGGATGGGTCACCACGGGAGCCTCCTACTGTGTGCCAGGGTCTGTCTGGGGCTGTGTCCCCAGCGCAGCCACATGGAAGCCAGCGGGAAGGACAGGCCTGCCTCGGGAGTGGCGGAGGGGAGCGGGGAGTGTGTGCTAGGGCAGAGGGCAGACTGGGGAGAGGCCCAGAGCCCCGTCCTTCGTCATGAGCACCCCTGCTTTGCAGCCTCTCCGGCGGGGAGGTGGGGAGGTCAAGCACAGGACAAGTGCAGGGACTCTGCAGGGGATCTCCGAGGTCCCTCTCCCAACCCTGAAGCTTAATGAGAAGCTGCGGTGACCACAAAGGGATGAATGAGTGTGGGCCGCGCTCAGGTTTCAGCAAGAAAATGAGGTGACACAGGAGCCCGCACCCCGACGTTAGTGACGGGCACCCCAACACCAGCCTCTGGCTGCCCTCTGACCCACACACCTGCCCGACCAGGACTCCGCGTCCCGAGCCCCCGGCCCCCGCTTCACCGGACATGCACCTTTCAGCAAGGCCTGCAGGATGGCCACGTCCACGTCCTGCTGGCCGTCCTTGCCCTCCCGGAAAATGGTCAGCAGCTGCCGCCTCCGGACGATGTCCTGGACCTGCAATGCACGGCCCCCGTGAGGCGCGGTGACCGACGGGCCTCCGGCTATGAGGGAGACGCCCCCAGTCCTGCGAGCCCCGCCCGGCTCCCCGTGCGGGGTCCTCGCCCGGCTCCACCGCCTGTACCGTCCCCTCTCCCCCACAGGAATAAGAGAACCAGGGACTTCAGAGCAGACTACCCAACTGCAGGGCAGCGAGGTCCTCAGTCCTAACAGCCAGGAGTGTCCCTGGGCCCAAAGTGGTCTGGGGGTGGGGCACCCCCGGGGCTCATGGCTCAGGAGCCCCGCCCACCCCACGGCTCTTAAAGGAAAAGGCAAAAACGGAAAGACAGTAAAAGAGGACGGGCCGAACGCGACGGGGGGTCTCGGTTTGGCTCCTGGGGCAGAAAAACAGCAGCGGTGCACATCGCGAAGCCCGCCCCTCAAGTGCGCTGCGCTGGCGAGGGCGGTGGCACCAGGGGAGGCTGGGTGAAGGGTGGAGGGCGAAAGGTGGAGGGCGAAGGGTGGAAAGCACCCCTCCGCCTTCGCAAGTCTTCCCCAGTCTAAAGTTATCCCAGCACAGAAGTCGAGCGAGGACAGTAGGCACTTGAAGGAAGCCGAGCCTGCAGCGGGGGGCCGAGCCCGTCCTTCACGCCGTGGCCCCGGGGCCTGCTCGCTGCAGCTTCGCATTCGCACCGTCCGGTCCCCGCTCCGCACGTCCTGCCCCTGGGGCACGAAGGCTCACCCCTTTGGGCATAACTAGCTCCCTCCCAGGCTCTGAAGTCTCCCCAAATCCCTGGAGACCAGGGTCCCCCAGAGGGCTCACTAAACCTGCAGATCCCCAGATGGGCCACGCCCACCAACGCCCTAGCTGAGGGGGCACGTGAGGTACCTCCAGATCGCCACCCGATACCGGGAGCCACATGTGCCCCCGTCTCAATGCACTCGCCTGCCCCCCTGCCTGGCCGACCCCTGAAAGCTGGTGGCCGTGAGCTCGCAGGCTGGGAGGCTAGGCCAGACCCTGCCGCCTGCTGCCCGAACCTCGGCTCTCCACCGCTCTGTCCCTCCTGGAACCTCTGCGCCCCGCCTGCAGGATCCCAGCCCGGGCCTGAGGTTCTGCGGCCGAGGTTCAAGACCCTCCTGAGCTGGGCAAGACAGCACACTGGGCCAGAGCCCCCATCTCTTCCGAGCCGCCCCTGGCCCACCTGGGGTCTGTCTCCTGGCCCCCTCTGTGGTTCCTGGCCCTGCAAGTCGGCTGTGCCCAGGGACCACGTGCCGCCGGCCTCACCTTCTTGGTCCACTCCACAATCCTGCCCTCAGTGAAGGTCTCGAACAGCTCCTGGAAGAACACAGCCAGCTTCTGCTGAATCAGGGAGATGGTGATCTCGGAGATGGGCAGGCTGGCCACCTGGGCGATGACGTCGGCCACACGGCCCGAGCCCTCCACGACCACGCAGGGGGTGCCGTGGGTGATGGCGTTGTAGATGGTCTGCAAGGCAGGGGCAGTGTGAGCTGGACGGCGCCCTCGCCCACCCCTTCACTTCCTGTGGGGGAAGGCGGCAGCCGCCCTTCACGTCAGGGCCTCGCAGAAACGCCGACCGGCGTGGCCGCGGCCCCTGCGCCGAGGGAAGGGGCGGTCAGTCCGACACACGGCGGCGTGTGCACCCCACGCCGCCTCGTCCGGGCCTGTGGCCCACTCAACGGCACGGAGTCAGAGCGCACAGAGCGTCTCCAGACAGAGCCCTGCCTGGCGGGGGCCCCTCACGGGGACTCGGGGCGAGACCAGGGCCGCGAGGGGAGACCCCCGGAGACCCAGGGGAGACCCCCGGAGACCCAGGGCAAGCTCGTCCTCAGGAAGGACGCCGGCCCGCGACGGAGACCCAGGGGAGACCCCCGGAGACCCAGGGCGAGCGCGTCCTCAGGAAGGACGCGGTCTGGGCACCGCCTGCAGGACTGTGAGGACGCTGCTGGTGGACACGATGAGGACCGAAGGGGTGCCCACCCCCAGGAGACCCCGGGGCTCCAGGGTCGCATAAACGGTGCTTTCTCTCCTTTTTCGCCCCAGATCTGCAGACTTTAGTGCCACCAACATTCCTACAGCAGAGGGGCCGCGAACGAGGCGGACCACACACCGTGGGCTCTGAGCTAAGGTCCGCGGGCAGCGTGTTGAAACCACCGAGGAACCAGCCCGCATTCAGAGGGGTCCCCGGGGCTGGGCGGCCTCCCAGAGCCCCTCCAGGGAGCCTGGGTGCAGAGCCGCAGAAAGCCCACCGCCCAGGGGTGCTGGACAGGGGGCCATCAGCACCGGCCTTGGCACAGTCCCCTTGGAGCCCTGTTACTGGTCAACCACCCAGGACCGAAGCCAGCACCTCTGTCCGCCCCTGTGGAGATGGCCCGGCCCCCCGCTGGTACTCACGTGCAGAGTCCCAGGCCCCCCCTCCAGCACCACACAGACGATGGGGATCTTGATGGCCACGCCTAGGACGAAGCACAGGGGCCCAGCTCAGGGAACATGGGGCTCAGGGCCTTTCCTACCCCCGCCGGCTCCCGCCCATCGCGGGGAGGCGTCGGCTGGGTGACGTGTCACAGGCGCTGGGCAGCTCTGAAAGGCTGACGCTCAGATGGCCTGCTTGTCCTCCGTGAGTGAGCGCAGACTGGAGGCCCCGTGATGGCTCCTCCACCCCACGACCCCTCTGGGTGCAGGGAAGGTGAGGACCGTGGATTGCTGAGTGACAGCCAGGGTCCCCCAGCCAGTCTCCACCCGCAGGCCCCAGGACCTGTCTGCTTATCTCTGCAGCCCAGTCTGAGCAGGTGGGCGTGACACACGGGGCGGGGGTGGGGGGAGCACAGCACTCGGTCCTCCGTCCAACATCCGGCCCCGCTCCGAGCCTTCCGTCCATCCCTCAGCCGGGGGTCTTGTGACGATTTTAGAAATGTCTTTCCCTGGGCAGCGAACTTCCTGTCCACCTGCCAACCTGGTCTCACTGTTGCCCCAAACACCTGCACCCAGGTTCTCTCAGTCAAAGCAGGGTGCTGACGGTGTGCTCCCCAGGCCCGCTGGTCAGTGTCACCTGGGAACTTAGACATGCACAGATGGGGGGCAGGCCCGAGGGGTGGGAGTGACGAGCCCTCCAGGGAACTCCAATGTGCAGCAAACCTTGAAAACTTCTGCTCTCAAGGTGCCTGACCGAGCCAGGTAGAACCTTCTGGGTCCCCCTCAGCCCTCCCCACAGCAAAGTCCCGCGTACCTGACCCGCACTGTGCCAGTGCCCCCATCCCACCCACAGGGGAAAGATGCATCACACGCTCTACTTCTGAGCTGAGACCGAGTGTCTGACATGACTGCAGATGGCCTCTGGCCTGAGACAGAAAAGCAGGGGGCTGCCCCGACGGTCCTGGGACACTGACTGTCCGTCCTGTGACAGGGCCTGGGGAGGCGACCCCCCAACGAGGGTGGAGGAATCCAGGTGCGTGCTGATCCTGCCCCGAGCGGCCCCTGCGGCACATCCTGGCCGCCAGCTGTGTCCCCGTCACCCGACCAGCCCCCCCTCTGCCCGGCTCCCGGAAGCGCCTTCCCCCACCTCCTCTCTCCTTCGTCTGCTCCGATATGAACTTCTCCAGCTTCGTCCGCAGGGGGATCTCGACCCCATAGCGGCCGTGGGTCCCGTCGTCCACGAGGATGAAGTGGGAGTGGTTGCTGTCCAGGCAGGTCAGGTGCCCTTGGCCTTCCTCGTCCATGACGTACTCGGCAGGGAAGCCGCCCTGGGGACAGTGGCCAGAGAGGAGTCGGACACCGGGTGGGCGGTTCTGCATCGCGAATGCCCGGAACGGGGGGTCTCGCGGCTGGGTGACGACCCAGAGACGCCAGCGCCTCGCAGCTGGAGCCTGTGGTGTGACCTTGAGCCTTTGCAGATGTGACTGTGTTAGGTACATCGACAGGGAAGATGACCCCGCAGTATCCAGCTGGGCCCTAAACACCGCCACGTCCTTACAAGAGGGAGGCCGGGGAGACCCGACCACAGAAGGGAGGCCGCGTGACCATGGAGGCAGAGACTGGCTTAGCCGGCGGCCACGGGAGGCGGGCGGGCGGGGACGGCTTCTCCCCACAGCCTCTGGAGGGAGCGCGCCCTCCCAGCACCTTGGTTTTGAGTGAGTGACGCTGATGTTGTAGCTCCGGGCTCCGGAACGGGGAGGGGTACGTTTCTGCTGCTTCGAGCCACCCTGTTTACGATCATTAGTTTCACAGTGTCCCCAGGACACGGATCCGGGAGACGTGGCCACTAGGCCAACGCACCGTCCCGTGTTGCCCACCCAGGATGGCAGGGGTTGTCACGGGGAGTCTTCCGAACCCGAAGAGGGGAGAAAAGACAGGCGTGATCTGGGGTGTCACCCAACCTCTCTCGGCCTGAGATCTCCACTCCGTGGAGTGAGCCGTCCACCCAGCGAGGCGCATCTGATTCCAGGGCGAAGCCTGGAGCAGGCCAGCCACGTGGCCCACGAGAGGGTCCCGGCCCTGGGAAATGGGCACGGGCTGCTGCCGCCTGCACCCGCACACCCCCAGCACGGGCCGGGACGAGAAAGCCTCCTCGGCACCCCGCGCGTCCGCGAGCGCCCCTGACCGTGCGGAGTGCGTGGGCGTGTGCTCATTCTGCCACCTCTGCCGAGTCCTTGAGAAATCTGACCGAGTGACTCGGATGACCTTTCCCAGCTCAGGTCCCCACACGTAAGCAGTGGCTTCCCACTGCCGCGCCCTCCTCAATGGCGACAGGACAGACGCCCCTGCGGTGACGACTGTCGGGAGCAGAGCGTCAGGCTCCCCTGGAGACCTCACAGTGGAGGGGTTCAAGGGTCAAGGCCAGGCTCTGTGGTCAGACAGCCCAGCTCATGAGGACCCAGCGCTCACCGCTGCGTGATCTGGGCCACGCCGCTTCCGCCCGCTAAGCCCATGGCCATCTGAGTGGCTGTAGTGTGATAGAGCCGGCTCCCAGACGACTCTTACATCCTGTCACTGTGGCGGAGGACACCGGAGTCTAGCTGGGGAGCCGCGGGTCCCAGGTTGCCAGGCTCTGGCGGGGCAGGCGAGTGAATCGCGCTCAGGCCCCGCACAACCCCAACCCGCCTCTTCTCTCCACTCTGCACTTACCCCGGCGCCAGAGGGTGGCCTGCCACCACAGGACCCGTGGCACCCCACACCGCACCCCCCGAGCCGGCCCGCCCCGGGCGGCCGCCCAGCTCACCGTGGGATGGACCAGGCCCTCGCGGTTGTGCACGGTGCCCCACGTCGCAACGCCAATGGTGACGACTTCCCCGTTGTCGTGGCTGCTGCTCAGGCTGGAGTCCCGCACGGCCTCGCCCACCTGCTTCATCACACCGGTGTGGGACCCCCCGGTGATAATCCAGGCTCCTGGGGAGAGGAGCAGAGGCGGGGGAGGCCCGTGGGTCCTGGTGTGCACCCCGCCACGCGCACGCGGGGGCCCTGTGCACGCTGACGTCACGCGCCCTCCTGCAGGAGCCTTACACACAATGCTTCCAATGCCCCAATCGAGCAGCCCCCACCGGGGCCCGCGATGTAGCTGCTGGAGCCCAGGCCCCCATGCTCAGGAGCGGGGCACAGGAGCCTCCCCGTCACCTGCTGTCTGGCCCGTCCTGCGAACACCGTGTCTCAGACATTTCTCTGAATCCTTGTAAATGTCTCCTCCTCCTCTTGGTTTTTGGGGGCCACGTGCAGTGATCGTGTCCATGCACCTGATCACGTGGCCCTTTCTCTGTAAGGGATCCGCACCCCGCACCCACGCACTGCTGGGGACTGGCATGGCCCATGGGGGCCCCGCCCTGCCGTCGGGCCTCAGCAGGCGGCCTGCTTTGCTCCTGGCGCTTGGGCGCGTGGAAGCGCCAGGTCCGAGCACCAGGAGCCACGGCCACCGCGAGGACGGCAGGTCCCCAGTGGGGTCCGCCTCTCTGGCCGGTGACCGCGCGTGGGAAGACGTCTGGGTGAGCTGCAGCCGCCCCCCTGAACGAACGAAGGGAACGTCCGCCGCTGTCCGGGGCGTTTGCTGCCGGCCAGTGCCGAAGACGGTGTGGAAATCGGTGCCTGAGCCCAGACGCGGCGTCACCACGAGATACTAACATGTGGCACTGGCTCGGGGGCCAGGAAGTGGCAGCAAGGACACTGATATTGAACTCAAAAAAGGTAAATGTCCAGACATGTGGCAAACCGTCCATGGTTACTTGGGGACGGGTCAGCACCTAGTGAGTCCGTGGCAAAGGTGGCAGGTGTGCCTGGGTGACCGTCAGCAGCACCGAGCCAAGTGCCACATGACTGAGAAAGACCTGGTAATCCGCAGGCAGGCAGGGGTGGGGTGGCACCCCGAAATCCAAGGAAGCCTTGAGTGACACGGCCAAACGAGACGCAGACTAAGGCTGTTTCGGGGCAGAGACCACACCGAGGGTGTGGCCCGCACGCCCTTTGCCAAAACCAGATCCGAGAAAGAGGCTCAGTGACCTGGGTGACCCCGTCTTACCTGGACCCCGAATCCCCGCTCTGCTGTTAGAGGCCCCTAGTCGGCCACAGGTACTATGTCACCTTATCAAGCGTCACTCTGAGCGAGCCCCATGGGGACATGCGGCTCCCTGCCCCAGGTCACGGCAGCAGAGCCTTGGGGCCTGGCCTGCTCCTGCCAGTGCTGTGACCTTGGGGCTGATCTACCTGAGGCAGTCACCTAAGTGAAGAGCTGGAGGTGTCACCCTTCCAGCCCGGCGTTGACAGAACTAGGTAACAGAGAGGCCTGCTCACGCCTCAGGCCAGCACGGCCCCCCGCAGCCTGCCATCACGGCCCCCAGACCCCCTCTCTGTGCCCAGCAGGGTCTCATCACCGGGAGCTAAGTGGAGTCGTGTCTGCCCCCTTGAGCCTCCCAGTGACAGCCGGATGTGGACGAAGGAGCTTCCGGCAGATGAGGTGGGTGAGCCTGACCAGATGCTTCTCCACCCGGCCTCCACGACCCCCAGGGCCAACCAGTCCCAAGGCCAAACTCTGCCTCTCAGGGACCACTCACCCAGAGCTTCGTGCTCAGCCCGCCCACTGCTGCCAGACCCCTGTGGTCTGAGCCTCCTGACCCTCTCCCTTCCCCCGGGCACACCTGTGGTCCGGGCTTGGTGTTCCCCCGCACACCTGTGGTCTGGGCTTGGTGTCCCCCACCCCACACACCTGTGGTCTGGGCCACCTTGACCAGGCCTCTGCGGAAGACGCTCTACAGCCGGGGCTTCATGTTGAAGTCCTTGGCTCCGCCAGTGACCGAGATGAGGAGGTTGGGGACGTCCAGGCCCCAGTGCTGGGTCATGAGCTGGTAGATTATGCTGGAGGGCGTGTCCTGGGAGACACGGACGTACTGCAGGGGAGTCAGGGGACAGTGGAAGAACCCCGAGTCAGCGCGAGGCCCCCCGGCCCCCCCAGAACCCGCACGCCGGCCATGCTCGAGAGCCCAGCCAGGTGGGGGACGTCTCACCCCACAGTCTAGATCCAACGAGGACAGGAGACCAGGCCCGGGCAGGGCGTGGGAGGGAAGGGAAAGCGAGGGCCAGAGGAGGGACGGAGGGGCGGGGAGTGTCGGCCGAGGGGCCCAGCCCCCACCTCACGCCCGGGATGCAGCCCCGCCCTGCGCTGCAGTGACCAGGGACGCTGAGAGCACCCTGTCTCCTGTTAGCAGGGCAGCCCCTGCCTGCCCCGTCCCTCAGGCTGGGAGGGCTCTGTGTCCCCCGGTTTCGGCCACTCCCGCTCGGCAAGCGCTGCCAGCGTGGGTCACCGCTGGGGGGCTGTAGTCCACAGTAAGAGCAACAGGGTGACGGAAACCAACCTTTCCCACCTTCCGGCCCAGGCCCGTGAAGACGATGTCACCAAAGGCGTCCGTTGGCCTCTCCTGGACGTGCCTTTTGGGGTCCCACTCCTGGCCCTGGAAGGCGTGGGGCCTGACGGCCTCCTCCAAGTGCTGCTCGCGTGTGTAGCCACACTCACACACCACCTTCCTGCAAAGGCCCACGGTCAGCACAGGTGTCCAGGCGCCTCTCCCGCTGCCCGCTGGGGGTGTCGTGGGGGGCCCCGTGGAGAGCCGGGCTCTCTCGCCCACCCAGCAGTGACGGGCACGGCCACGGTGTCAGCGGAGGCCACATGGGGCAGCAGGGAGGCGCCCTGCCCCGCCCGGCCAGGTACACCTCTTTTAATTGGAAATCTAAGAAGTTTTTAGATTCTTACTTTTCCTAGTAACAAATGACCTAGAAAACTAGATACAGATAAGACCAAGAACTTTTTTAAAGTCTAAAGCCCAGTGAAACATGAGCCGATCATACAAGAGAAAGGAAACGCGTTTCTTGCCGACGCCGGGCGTGTGAGCTTAGCCGCTTCTGAAACACGTTTCTCAGTCTTCAAATGGCTGACGCTCCCAGAGCGAGACATTCCCCAGCCCCGACCCCAGCCCTGCAACGTCTGTGAGGGCCACGAGGTTGTAGGTGGGAAATAATGCACAAAACTATTTTATTAATGCAAAGGACCTGACCGTGCAGTGGACCAAGGATCGGTTAAGAGACCACGCCCTGCCCTGAACCCGAGTGCTCCCTGGCCCCCAGACTGTCCCCCACCGGTCACGAAGAAGCATGTCCTTCGCTACGTGCTTCCGCTGCTCGTGCAGGGGGCTCCTGGAGTTGTGACCGTCCTCTGCGACCCGTCAGGTAGACACAAGGCACTTTCGGACTTGCGGGGACCTTAGGGAACACCTTGTGTGGCCTCCTCAATTTATGGCCAAAGGCAGGGAAGGGGTCACCGGAGGGAGGACCCCAGGCTGCCCCAAACGTTCTCCTCCGTCCTAACCGGCAGCCGCGACACCGGCCTCTCTCCCTGCTCTGCACCTCCGCCCGCATACGAGGTGAGATCTCAACTCCGCGTGGTGTTCCCAAGCCCGACACGGTGCAGGAAACCGCATCGAAACCGCGGACCGCATCGGAGAAGGTGCTCCTGCGGTGTTGGCCGAGGCCGGCGTTAACGGGAACGCGTCCGCTAGCACCAGCGGGAGCAATGAGCACTGCCGGCTGCACCTGCTCCCCCGTCAGGGTCCCCTCCTGCAAGCTGACGGAGCTGCCACGGACAGTTACACACACGCGCGTGCGCACTCAGGCCATTCCGCCTGCATCTCCCTGCAGATGCGCCTCGCATTAACCCTCATGCGAATGATAACGGTGCTTCTGGAGGTTTTTAGAGCCAAACTCATCCTGAGCGCTATTTCTTCAGAGCGGACAGAAGCGCCGAAGGAGCAAAAAGCCCCGATTGTAGCCTCGGATCCGCCCGCACCCCCCAGCCCGCGCCGACCCCTCCGCCGGTTCAGAGTTCAGACGAAAGCGGGTCCAGGGTTTGACCGCTGGCACCCCCAAACCCTGCACACTGGAAACCAGGTCACCGCAGGACAGTGCCCCACACGGTTTTGAAACCAGCGATTCCAACACAGTTTTGAAACCAGCGATTCCAACACGGCCTGAGGCTGTTTGCATCAACCCGTTTCAAAATAGCTGGGCCCGGAGCCCTGGACGCAGGGTGCTGAGCGCACCTTCGGGATGCGTGGCGTGAACTCGACACCGACCGTGCCCCGAGCACCTTCCGGTCACCAGCGGGACGCGTCAGCGAGGGTGTGGGGGCACCCTGCTCGAACTCAGGGTCTGTCCCGGCGAGAAGCGAGGGCCCTCATCTGGGGGGAGCCAGGGTGGGCGTGAGCCCCCCACATCCACGGGGCCCTCGCAGTGACAACGCCCCGGGCACAGCACAGGGCCCCGGGAACGACGTCCTTGCAGGTGGCCATTCGCATCTGGGTCTGCGCCCTGATCCTCCGCCACCTCCCCCGCACAGGATGCTCCTCCTCCCCGTGTTGTCCAGAACATGTGAGCCGCACGCTGGCCACCTGTCCAGCACGGGGACTCATGCGATGACTCAGAACTCAGAAAAGGGACCTCGCAGAGCAGGGCGGGAGGGGCAGCTGCCCCAGGGACGTGGCCGGGCAGGGCGCCACGGCAGGGGCAGCGAGTAGGAATCTCCGGTGACAGAGGAGTAGAAGAAGGAAGGAAGGAAGAGTGTGGCCCGTTTGTGGCCCAGCAGCGACGGACGTGGCCGGAGGGGGAACGCGGCCGCGAGGCTGCGTGTCCGTCCTCGAGGAGCGCCGGCACGGAGCCCCCGCTGGGCCGTGTGGCAATGCCATCTCTTCTCTGAGGCGGCTCCTTGCCGTCCCCTCCGGGGCCGCCCTGGCTGGCCTCTCGCCACAGCCCACGAGGCCCCCTCTCTCTGCGTCCTCGCCAGCCTGGGCCTCGCGTCTTGGTGACGGCCATCCTGACAGGGGCGACGTGCCGTCTTGTCGTGGTTCTGAGGGCGTTTCCCTTACAGCTCGTGAAGTCGAGTCTCTTTCCGTGGGTCTCTTGGCCACTGGTCTATCTTCTGGGAAAAGTGTCTGTTTGGGTCCTCTGCCCCATTTTCTAATCGGATTTTGTTGTTGTTGTTGTGGTCGAGTTGTACACATTCTTCATACGTTTTAGACATCAGCCCCTTATCGGAGGCACCGTTTGCAAGGATCTTCTCCCACTGAGTTGGCCGACTGCTCTGTTTGTTGCTCGTTACTTTTGCTACATAGACGTTTTCGGGGTGGTGTCGTCTTCTTCATTTATTTTTGCTTTTACGACCTTTGCCTCTGGGGTCCAGTTCACAAAAACCCCTCTGAGACCAAGGTCCATAAACCTATGTCTCATACATGTAACGAAATATCCCTCAGCCGCTCACACACAGAAAGATGAAACGCTGCCATTTGCAACGACGTGGATGGATCTCGAGAGCGTCACACGACGCAAAACACATCAGACAGGAAAGGACGAGAACCACGTGATTTCACTCCCAGAGACGCACGAACAAGTAAAACAAACAAACCCCGAATGCAGACAAAATGCCAACAAATTCAGACCACACGGGGGCGGGGGCGGGAGGACCACGAGGGCACAGGGGGCCTAGTGAGGTGACGGGAGGGGCCCCGACTTCGGGGTGAGCACCCGGACATCAGGTTGCAAAGCTGTACACCTGGAACTCACATAATGTCATTAGCCAATGTCCCCCTGAAACAGTAAAACTACCAGCTGCGCCACCGAGGCTCTCGGTCCCGGGGATGGGAATGGGTGGTGTCCTGCAGGCTCGCCCTATTCATGGGTGCCCCGCTGGGGAGCCCGCAGCCCAGGAGGGCCACTTGCAGCAGCTGGGAGGCCCTGCCGGTCCCACAGGCTCTCGGGAGGACAGGTGGCAGTGACGTGGTGGGCCCCGGGACAGGGCAGGCCTGTCCAGACTCCGTGACCTCCGACCTCCTCGTGAGGGGTCCGGGCTGTGGGCTTTCCCTGGGCTCCTTCCCGTCCCCAGGCCCATGACACTCCGTGCCAGGGGGCAGTGAGCTGCTCTCAAGGCGGGCGACCGCTGCACAGAGCCAGGTGATGGCCGCGGACAGGCCACCTAAACTCCCCGCACCTCCATCGCAAGGCAGGGTGGGTGCGACTCCCCCCCGCACCCTGCAAGCTCCCAGTGCCCCAGTCCTGTGCAGACTGGGGGGCGTCCCCGGCCGAGGCCCCGCCCAGTCCTGTCCCCACAGCCACTGCGTGTGGGGACGAGAAAGGGTCACTCACCCGGCATCGGACAGCTTGGGGCTCTCCACGAAGTACACACGCTCTTTCTTCTTGATGTTTTCAGGGATCCAGGAGCTGAGGCTTTTCTGCTGCGGGTTCGAGGCAGTCTGAGCTTCTCGGCCAAGCAAACCGACCGTCTTCACGGAGGCGCACCCTCTCCTCCCTGGACACCCGACCCTCCTCGACCAGCTCAGAGGGGCTCTGCTTGGACGCGGGCGGCCCGAGCACGCCCAGGGCAGTCCAGGGTCACGCGCCCTCGCGGAAGGCACGCGGGCGTGGACTCGGGACGGAGGAGGGCGTGTGTGTGACAGCGGGCTCCTGGACGCAACCTGAATTTGCGCTGCACTCCACAGTTTGTATGCCAGCACCGCCTCCCTGGGGACGACTCGGGGGCAAGGTGGCAGGTGAGGGTGTGCCTCGGTGCTGGCGGGACACCGGGCCGAGACGCCCGCGTGCCCGCCACAGCGGGCTGTGACGTTGGAGCGTGCCCGTCCCGCGGTCGTGTCCAGGGCCTTCTGTGAGTGTGGCCCAGGACTTGGGCTGTGCTGGGGCCTGCCCAGAGGATGGGAAGTCACTGCACAAGGAGGTCAGGGGTGACAGCCTTCTGTGAGTCTGGCCCAGGACCAAGAATAGAAAGCGATTGTGTGTCCCCAGGGGCTGGGGAGGAGACGAACCTGGCACTACCATCCTGTCCTGTTCTCTCTTCCAGAGCCTTCCTGGGCTGCAGCCCCCAGGGCAAGAGTCTCTGCCCAGCAGGAAACGCCCCTCCCTGTGGTCACTGGGCCCCACGGGGCTCTGGCAGACCCACCACTGGGCCGCTGGCCACTGGCCACTGGACACTTACCTTCTCAGAGCCGTCGAAGAGGAACTGGGGTCCCCTCTTCTTGCAGAGGCTGCTGTTGCTCCGCCGGAGGTTGGGGACCGGGCCCAGGTCGGTGCCCCACGTGGGCTGTGCCCCGCATCCCTCCTCCTGTTTGGAGCCCGCTTTCCCCAGGGCCGAGGGCTCCATGGTCCTGCGCCTCCCTTGGGACGGGCTTGCTCTGGCGGGCTGGGCCGAGGGCTCCGGAGACACACGGGACGGGGCTGCAACAGACCAGCGGAGTGAGGCAGGTCCCCCACGTGAGCCGGCCCCAAGCTCTGTCCCCATACCGGGAAGTACAGGCAAGTGCCCGGGCCCCAGGCGCCCGCCCATTCATAGCGGTGACAACCTCGGGTCACTGTGAAGGGCCAGAGAAAGAGCTCCAGCCCCCACCCCCCACCCCACCCCACTCCACCTGCACCCGAGACACCCAGGGGCCCGGGCCCAGGGGGAAGCTCGAGGTCACATGCGTCCCTGCTCTGCACTTCCCATTAGCAGCTCAACACTATCATCTTCCAGAAAGTGAAACGGCCCCACTGAGCACAAAGCAGGTTTCGGGGAGCGGTACGGCTCTCCACCCACGGGACCGGCCCCTGAGAGGGACACGTCTGCTGTCCTCGAGTCCTTCGCGCCCGGCACCGGCACCACCGGCCCCGTCGCCGAGGGCTCCCTGAGCAACACGGCCATTTCTTCGTTTACAAACTGGAAAAATTAACGGATGTGTGCAAACCCCGCTGCCTTCCCTGGAACAAGGTGCCCGCGACCACGTCCCGTGAGGTCACCCCCACGTCACCCCACGGTGTCATCCGTGGAGTCACACTCCCCAGCCAGGGGGTGCAGAAGGCGTGGAAGAGGACCTCTCGGAGCGCGAGGGTCACCAGGTCTCACCTGCCTCCCCCACAAAGCCCTGCCGGCCATGTCACCCTCCACCTCCACGAGGGGCCCCACGGATGGGACTTCTGCCCGTTCATCCAGCTTCGACAGGTGGTCCCCCTGCTTGGGGAGGCCAGGGGTCTGCCGGGGAGGCAGGCGCCCACCCTGCCCTTACCCGGCTCAGCTCGGCACTGGGCCCTGCAGTGCAGTCACATGGCCACTGACCTTGGGCAAACATTCCCAGCGACATGCAGGGCTCAGGCCGCCCCTCACCTCTGCGCCCCACCCCGCGGCTGGACGCACGCCCAGGCCCTAGGCCCGCCGAAGGAGGCCGGCTCACTCCCCTCCCGTGAGGGCACCGTGAGGACACAGGACGCCGGCTCTGGGAGTGGGTGCTGCCGTGACAAACACCACGGCTGTGGAAGCGGCTTTGGAACTGGGTGACAGGCAGAGGCTGGGAGAGTTTGGAGGTGGCTCTGGAAAAAGCTTATACTGCCGTGCACAAGCCTGGGGGGGCTCTCTCCATGCCAATTTTGAAGGGTACCCAGAGCCTCGGGAACATAGCCCCAGCAGGGGCCACCGCCCCGTGGAGCCAAGGAGGGTGGGGAGGGTGGCCAAGCCCACAGAGCCCCCGGCATGCGAGTCCAGCCTGGGGGCGTCCCAGTGGGCCGTACAGTGCCAGACTTAATGGGGACCCATTACCCCCTCCTCCTGTCCAATCTCTCCCTTGGCAACGCGGGTGTCTGTCCTGTGCCTGTGCCCCCACCGCATTTGGGAAGCACGTGACTCGTCTGGTGTCACACGTTCCCGGCTGGAGGGGACCCGTCTCTGACGTGGATGACATTTTGATGAGACTTCGGACTTGGTAGTGTTGGCACTGGAATGAGTTGGGGCTCTGAGGGCTGCTGGGATGGGGGTGAACATATTTTGCATTTGAGACGAACATGAATTTGGGGGGACAGGAGTGCAACGCCATGGTCTGAATGTGTCCCCCATAATTCACAGCCCCACGGTGACGGGGGGTTAGGAGGCGGGGCCTCCGGGCAGGAGGTGGTCACGAGGGTGGAGGCTTTGTGACCGGGCTCAGCACCCTTACGACCCCCAGAGAGCTCCCTGCCGCCTTCTGCCTGTGAGGTCACTGGGAGGGGTCTGCAACCCGGACGGGTCCCTCGCCAGCCCCGCTGGCCCCCGCGTCGTGGACTTCCAGCTTCTGGACGTGTGAGGAACGAGCTCGCGCTGTTTATAAGCCACCAGACCATGATGTTGTGCCACAGCAGCCCGAGCGGCTGGGAGCGACAGGAGCCAGTGCTGGCTCAGCGGTCCCTCCGGGGTCGTTCTGGCCCCGCAGCCATGGCGGAGGTGATGCCCTACCCCTGTGTGGCCCTGTGGGCAGCAGCTCACCTGGCCTCACAGCCAGCTTCCAAAGGACGCGGGTGACGAGAAAGGCTCCTGGCGGACAGAGGAAACGAGGCTCGGGAATTCTCTGACACATGCCACTCTGTCGGGGGCCTGGACTAGAGTGGCTCCCGCCCCTCTCCGGGGCTTGGCCCTGCACAGGACAAGGATGGCGGGAGAGCGAGAATGAAGTGGCCGAGTGGCAGGCAAGGTCTGGGCGAGGAAGGCCTTTGTCTGAAAGCCAGAACCACGGCCGTCCGCGGCTGCACTCACAGCCAGCGGCCACCTCAGCACGGCCACGAGGGCCGCGTGCGGGTCTTCTCAAGTGCCAGCTGAGAACAGGTCCCTGGGAAAGGCGACCAACACCACCCGCCTGCGCACCGCCCCGTCGGACATTGCAGGGCAGGCCACATGCGGCCCTTCCCACACCCAGCGGCTTGGGGACGCTGGCCCAGCACCCTCCCCCGCCCCCTCCCCCGACCCTGACCCCGCCGCAGTCCAGACCCCCAGGGCTGACGATGACGTCACAGAGCCGCCCACCCCACCTTCTCTGGGGTTCTCCTCCCTGCACAGCCACTTCCTGCACACAGCGCCCGGAAGCAATTTTGGCGACTCTGGTTTACAGCTACTGTCCCCTAAACGCAGTTGGCATAGGCGTGTGCTGACAGCGCCCTGAAAGCATGTGACTTCCAAGAGGACGGACGGACAGACAGGCAGACAGGAGGAACCTGGCAGCACACAGCCTGGCATACAGACGTACGACGCGCACACCCATAAACGTCGTCTGGCACAGGGTCCCTGACAAGGATGCGGAGCTGTTGCTGGAGAGCGAGAGGCCTGAGCTGGCCGAGGCCCACGTGGGACGAGTGTCCAAACCTGAGCTGTGCACCAAGCCGTCCCCAGGAGGAAGGAGGGGCGCGGGGACCCGCAGGGACGAGCACTGGCGGTGGGAGAGGGGCGGTCCACCCCACCCGTCCCAGCCTGGGACCTGCAGGCTCCTGTGTCCCAGGGATGGCAGCGGACAGACCCACTGGACCCTCAGGAACAGACACCAAGGCCAGACAGAACACCGCTCCTGGGCACAACTTTTTACAGCGGCCACGGAAGCTCCGCAGCCCCAAAGACCACCACCAGGAAATAGAGCGAGGGACTTTAGACGTGGGCTGGCCTGGGCGCAGTGGCCGTGGCCAGATGTGCACCCTCTCTGTGTCTCTCTCTAACGCGGAGGCTGCACCCTGCTGCTCCTGTCCTGGTGGCTTCTGAACTCCCGGCCGTGACAGTATTTGGACAGTAGGAATAGCTACACATCAGGGGCAAGGGAAGTCCCCCCTGCGGTCTGTCCAGGGGTTGGAAGCCCCAGATCGCTAAGTCTGATCTCCGCAGGTGGAGGCTCGAGCCCTGGACAGATCGCTCCCCCGCCCCGGCGCAGCGCCCACTGCCCTGTGCTGCAGCCCGGCGGATGCCCGCACTGCGATTCCTGAGCCTGCGCTCACCCCTGCGGCCCAGCCACTCCCCAGCGCGCGCTCCCGCGCCCCATCAAGGCCAGTGCTTAGGTCCCCGCACCTGGTGGCGCACACACCCCGGCCTGCGCCCCTGGACTCGGCGCAGGCACGCACACACCTCACCTGCGCCTCCGCCCAGCGCCAGGTCTCACGACCTCGCTGCGGCATTCAGGTCACCCCGCCAGAGCGCAGGTGAGCGCTCTGCTCGGACGGAGCGCTTCGTGCCCTTGTCGCTCGTGCTGCAGCGCAGGACAGCCTCCCTGGCCCCTCGGGGCCCTCCCC